TTCTGCATGGCTTTGTCCCAGCATTCCCCTGTAGTAGAGCAGACACAGAAGATCCATATTTTAGTGAACGTTCTTAATAGCTGGCCAACCGTGACAGAGGTTTGGATGTGCGGTCCAGCCTGCTCACAGTGTCCTAACTAATAAACAAAAATGGGGACGGAGAGAGAGAGAGAGAGAGAGAGAAGAAACACATCAGTGGTACTGCGGATTTTTGTGTGCATCATATTTAAAGATACAGTTGCCCAAACTCATATGCTGCTATTTTGGCATGGAACACACTGAAGAATCCGAATGCTTTGGCCAAGGCAAAGATTTTTCCTATTGATTTTTCCCTGTCGTATGACTTCAGAAGACTTTGATTATAGCGCTCAAATCTCATGGACTACTTTATAGGGCTTTTTTTGTGGAGGGAAAAGTGGAAATAAGCTCTAGACAGAAGTAGAAAAACAGATTAAAGTTAGAACAGTGTGTAAATGTGAAGTTTCAAAAGAGCAATGGGGTGAAAAAGTGAGCTGTGATAGGATGTGCAGCAAACTGCAGGAGAAATCTAAATCTGGAGGAGCAAAGAGGTTCTGACAGGATTCCCAGCAGGAAAACAATACCTCCAAAAGCTCTAGAGATCTTCCTGATGGCGCAGAAGGGAATAAACCCTCCCAAAGACAGAAGATCCATTTCTGACTTCTGCTGTTAAAAACTGCTCCCTCAAAGCAACTTGTGACTTTGAAAATGATGTCGTCTAGTAGAATCAAAAACAGTGTTAAAAATAACTGGTGAATTAGTGGTTTAATGGAATCCCAAATGGAGGCATCTGTACCGCTGTGATGCTACAGAGCTCCTATGGGGCTTGACGCATGTCTGAGTGTGTGAGTTTGTGAGAAAGTGGTTTGGCATTTGCCGTATGTGATCATCAATATCTTCTCCTATGAGCATGTGCTGATTCTTATAGTTTTTACTACAGATGGGTGTAAAGAATTACAGTATAATGTGATGATCACTGAAGTTATAAACAGAGATGCACCGATCGATCGGCTAGGGATTGAAATAGGCCGATTTTCCTCATGATCGGCCCGGATCGGTGATCGTCCGGTCAGTCTAACTTCTTTCCGATTTCGAGCCGATCTGTTTTGTTACCAGCGGCACAGGCAATAACATCAGCCTTGCATTCTCGCTCTCTTCTCTCCGACGACCCCTTCTCTCTCACACGTCTCATTCGCTCCAGTTAAATAGTGCTTGTATTGCTCATTATTTTAGTCATTGCCGCAGGTTTTGTGCTTACACCAAAAGCACGCCACTGATCTATATTAGTGGAGTGCACAATCCGCGCTCAGTCTCAAACAGCTTGTGAGCCACAGATACCAAAATGAGTGGCTAACTGCGCTAAAACGTTCAAATACATAAAAAATGATGTCTTAAAATGCCCGTCTTGGGGAGTATCCAGTCAAACACAGTCAGTTTTGGAACGTTAAATAGTTGAGAAAGAGAACGCATGTTGTGTAACAGTATATTGGGTCCGTGGATAAACTCTTAAAGGGACCGCAGTCCAATATTTCTGCTGCTGTCTGTCATGTTAATCAAAGAACAAAAGACAAAGAAAATAATTTTCTGCTCTTGGCTGAATACGTTTTATAACTTTAATGGTGAGCATTAATCTGTATTTAATTTTTACAATGAAGACTACAGAAATTAAAGTAATCAAAACACCAGTGTTATTTTACATTTGATTACTTTCATTTCTGTAGTATTTCTTAACGGAATACAAACTTACTTAACCTGAAAAACTTAGTTTCATAGCTGTCTTTATTCTATTGCATTTATTTGTGCTTGTTGTTTGCAATTTTTTTTATTTGTTCTTATTTTATTACTGAATTTTTACTTGTGTTTTTTTATGAAAATAAAACTTTGCATTGAAGAAAAGTAGATTTTTGTTTGTATATGCTGTGAATTATAGTTCTTCGAAAGAAAATATGAATCGGTAAAAATCGGTATCGGCAGATCACACTAACAAAAAAATTGGAAATCAGAATCTGCCAAAAAAATTGCTATTGGTGCATCTCTAGTTATAAACAGTCAGCTTACTTTATTTCAATGTTGTTGTTGTTTTTTTTTTTTTTTTTTACAATTTTGTAACCCACAGGTCTTTCACATTTGTTTGTTTGTTTTTAACAAAAATGGAGAAACATATTGTACAAAATTTAAAAGGGTAGTTGGTCCCGAAATGAAAATTCTGTCATCATTTGTCATCTCACCCACAAGTTGTTTTAAGTCATAAGACTTTTGTCCATCTTTTTGTCTCTCCAGTGAAAGTCCATTCCATACTTTTTGACATTTCAATCTTGAAACGCGCTTCAAGGAAGTACAGTTGAGCTTCCATATTTGATTTGCTATATGTATTTTTTGATAAATGTTTACAGGTGAATAAAAGCCTGAATTTCTGTTCATCATATAAAGCGTTTATATTAATTCTACTGATTCACAAGGATTTCTTTTACAATCTTTTTATGAACTTTTTGGAGCATCAACGTTTTGGTGGAATAGACTTTTCAGAAAGTTTTCACAGGGTCAGAAATATCTCAGGTTTCATTGCAAATGTCTTCAAGACAAACGAAGGTCTAATGAGTTTGAGTAAATGATGACAATGTCCATTTTTGGGTGAACTATCCCTTTAATCTCTCCATTATGTGCTGATCATTGAAATGATAAACAGTTGGCTAGGTTTGCTAAAACTTTTAGCTTACTCAAGCATTTTAATAGCTAAAAAATAGCCTGTTTATCTGCTTTATTTGTTGAAAACACAAATAAAACATGCAACAAGTGGTAAACCATAGTGGAGATTTTTCTTTAACCAACCGCAACAAGCAATGCTTCACTGGACTCTTATAATACAGTCTTCAAATAAAAATAATTTTTATTATAAATCTTTTTTTTTTCCAGAGATATTTTTAAAAAAGATTTTAAAACCCTCAGTTGCTGTTGTACATTCAAGGACTATCATTGGAAGATATTTCTTACATATTTTCACATTGTTTGTTTTTACTAAACAGGGACACATGATACTGTATAAGGTACACAATTAAATTTAAAGGGGTCATATGACGTTGCTAAAAAGAACATTATGTTGTGTATCTGGTGTAATGCAATGTGTTTATGCGGTTTAAGGTTCAAAAAACACATTCTTTTTCACATACTGTACATTATTGTTTCTCTTCTATGCCCCGCCTTTCTGAAACGCATCGATTTTTACAAAACTCATCAGTCTGAAAAGCGAGGTGTGCTCTGATTGGCCAGCTATCCAGTGCGTT